GTAATGGCAGCAGTAGTAGTCGAACCTTAAGAAGTCAAGGCTGATATAAATATATCCAAGCGAGAAGTGATAGCACCTATACCACTCTGCCAGGGAGGAATAGTAACAATAATAGCAGGAGCAATGACTGTAGGTGGTGGTGCCTTAGCAATGGCAGTAGTATGGCTGCGATGAGGCAGCTTAAGCTCTGGATGGAGCTTCCAATAAGTAGCCCTGAGATGTCCTAGTCGGCTACAATAATCATACTAGCGAGAATCCCCATATCTACGCTGATGTAGGGTACCCTGACGGCATTGGGCCGAGCGCTGTCGACCCCTATACCCAGTGAAAGTACTAACAAATATCTCAACGGTAGGATCTCAACTCCCTCAGTAGTAGTCATATCATCAATAATACTAGGGCACTCGTGACAGAAAAATAACTCTAAGATAAATAGATGGACAAAATAAGGGAGAACAATTTACCTTCAGTCAAACAGTAGCGACAGATAAAGAAGGTCCAGAAAGCTCCCAAATAATCAGGTCACGATGCCCAGAAGTCTAATAAATATAAATAAATGATATACTGTATCAAGAACATACCAACTGAGAAGAGGATTCAACCCCTCTTAAAAGGTCCTATGGTCCTAAATAATCAGGCACACAAAGGCAAAACATGAAACTATGACGAAGAGCGCGACCCAGCTGGTTCGCTGGGGTGAGTACTATGTTGGGTTTGGGCTAGACTGGACAGTGGGCTATTTGGTGTGGTTTGCTAGGTGTAGAGTTAATGTTTGCTGGTTGTATAGGAGTACGTGTTTTTTGGCTGGGTAGGCAGATGGTCTTAGTGAGTATTGTCTTGGGCAATCGGCTGGTCTGGAGTGGGTATTGTCTGTCGTTGGGGCTGCTTAGTTGTCAGGGGTATTTGTTTATAGGCCTGGGCAGTGGGTTTGTGAAGTCGGTGGAATTGGGATGAAGCAATCCTCTATATGTTTCGATTGTTCGGTGGCTATGTTCCGTGGGTTTGTGGGCAGTTGTTCACTGGTAGGCCAATGGAGTGGACAGCAACACGATGTTCTGTTGTCGGTGGAGTAGCTAGAGGCAACCGGTGTTGGCTGTCGGTGGTTGTGTTGCTGGTAGGCAGTTGGTGGCTTCTAGGACTGTGAGGCAGTGGGTTTGTTGTTGGAATACGGGCAGTTGGTTTGTTACAGGCTATCGCTGGTATGTGGGTATATGGGTTTGATGTTTGTCGTGTTTGTTGTCGGTGGTTTGGGTAGTCGGCGGCAGTGTGGTGGCTGGTGGCTAAAACGTGGAAGAGGGGCTAGGGTAGGGTTAGGGTTGTGGCTCTGATACCAACTTGGAATTAATGTGAGTAAAAGGGATACAAACTAAGTGTAGAGCCCCCGTATATATAACCAATAAAAGTTACAATAAGGATAAAAAGATAAAAAGGTACAAAAAGAAAAACTTAATAAACCCTAATAAACTAACCTGCTATATCTCCAACAGAGAGATACTTGGCTCAAACAAGTGTTCCACTGGAACTGTCCTGCTCAAGTTTCCCTTTGTCACAATGGCTAGTTTCACGAGGGAGTATACATGGGCGTTTTCAGCTGTTGGTACTTGCATGATTTTAAAGTGGAGGAATCTGTTCAGCAATTTGTCCACAATCCTAAGGAAGGCTGTCATCCTGTCTAGTTGGGCATTGTATTCTGATTTGACCTGCCTGACTACTAGCTATGAGGCATTGTGAATCATTATCTGTCTAGTTTTCATCGAAAAGGCCAGCCTGAGTGCAGCGATAAGAGCCTTGTTACTCTAGTTCGTTATTGGAGGCCTTGAAATCAAACCTCAAGGCGTACTCAAGCAATATCCCCTCTGATCAAGGTTAAGATCAAACTATCTCTACTTCCCTGAGCATTCAAAGCTCCATCCACATATAAGTCCCAGATCGGGACATCTAATACAAATCCCTTTCTATGGAGAGAAAGTGATTGTTCAAGAGATGAGGTGAATTCCGCTAAGAAATTTGCCAGGATCCGGCTTTGATTACCATTCGTGACTTTAATTTGATGTCAAATTCTCCCAGCTCTATCGGCTACTTGACTAGCCTACCTGAGAACTCAAGCTTATGGAGGGTGTGCTTCATTGGATAGTCTATAGGCACTTCAATGAAATGAGCTTGAAAGTAAGGCCTGAGTCTTCTGGCTGCAATGACTAGTGTGAAGACAATAATTTTAATCTTTGGGTATCTTTCCTCAACAAGGACTTTACTGTAGAAATATACCAACCTTTGGATCTCTTCCTCGCCCCTGATCAGGGCAGCACTGACTGAAAAATCTAAAACTGCTAGGTACAGGGTGAGAACTTCTCCAGGTTTTGGATTGACCAAAACTGGTGCAATGGTCAAGTAAGTTTTTAAATATTAGAAAGCCTCTTCACATTGGTTATTCCACTTAGAAGCTTTCTTCAACACCTTGAACAAGGGTTCTTCCTGCCAGACGTTTTACTTCCTTTGTGCTGGTCAATGACTTTATGCCTATGAATGGTTGCACTTTCTTGGGATTGGCTTCAATTCTCTTTTGATTCACAATGAATTTCAAAATTTATTTTGTTGAAACTTCAAAGGCATACTTTGTTGGTTTGAGCTCCATACCATACTTCCTCAGAATCAACTTGGAGTGATTTAACTAACATATCGTCTATGTAGACTTCCGTTGTGATGCTGATATGATCAGCGAACATCTTGTTAACTATACTTCGATAAGTGACCCATGCCTTTTTCAAGCCGAATGACATGAGTTAACAATAATATGTCCCTTGCTCAGTTACAAAGGAGGTATTCTCCTCATTTGATGGCTTCATGCGTATCTAGTTGTACCAAGTGTCCATAAAGTTGTGCAACTCATGCTCTAATATTGTATTTACAATCAGATTTATTTGGATCAAACGGAAATAGTCTTTAGGGCATGCCCCGTTCAAGTCAGTAAAGTCAATGCACAATCTCCACTTTCTGTTGGTCTTTTTAACCAAAACAACATACTCAAGCCTGGTTGGATAATCTACTTCTTTGATGGTTTTTGTCTGGATGAGTTTGATTGCTTCCTGATTGATCGTCTTCTATCTTTCTGGGGTAAAACTTCTCCTTTTTCCACTTGATGGGTTTGCAGCTCGAGTCAATGTTGAGTTTTAATGGACTATTATTTTTGGGGTGATGCCTTCCATGTCCTCCTATTTCTATGCAAACATGTCCAAGCTGCTTTGTAGGAATGCAATGAGCTTCTCTTTGATGTTGTTCACCAGCATAGATTCGACAAAGACCACATACTCAAGGTCATTGTCCAAAAGTATGGGCTCCAGGTCTTCCGAAGGAGAAGGTCGGGTATCTATCTTATCCCTCATGTCCATGTCATTACTTGAAACTTGTCAACCTCTTTTTGCTCATGGAGGTCATATAACATTTCTTTATCATTCTTTAGTCTCCTTGGACTTCTCCAATCCCATTTTCTATTAGAAACTTCATGATCAAGTGGTATGTCGAGGGCATGGCTTTGATTGTATTGAGAGAAGGTTGTCTCAATATAACATTGTAGGCTGAGGGGGCTCGACTACCAGAAACTTGACTATGGTCATTACCTATCGAGGTGGATCTCCAACAGTCAATACCAACTGTATTGACCCTGGGGGAAACACTATCTCACCAAAAAAGCTAATGAGTGGGGACTTGATTGACGGTAACTTCTCTTGCCTCATACCAAACTGGTCATGAGCTCTTGCAAAGATGAGGTCCGCCGAACTCTCATTGTCAATTAGGACCCTATGGACATTTATGTTGGCGATGATGGCCTTACCTACTAAGGGATCGTCATGCAAATGCTAGCATTTTACTAGGTCAGCGTCAAAAAAGGTAATATCAGTGCTAAGCCGAGGAGTTTTTTAGACAGAACAGACTCCCTGGTAATCTATTGCTTAGAATTTTTGAACATGTGTTTTCCTAGCTGAGCTGGACTCTCCTCCACTAACAAAGCCCCCAAGACAACTCTGATTTCCCCATGAACTGTTCATGTTGATGCCCAGATGGGGTGCGTGTTGCAGATTTTCAACTCGGTGGTCTCCATCCTACGCTCGTGGCCTCTCTGAATAAGAAATTTGATCTCCTTCTTTTCCTTCTCGTTATGTAGCAGTTGTCCTACCAATGTGTTCAAGGTCGTGTATTGTTCAGGGACATACTTAGGCAGAAAATTCTACTTTGGCGGTCCAAGCCTGTCCAAAACATCCCCTCTTTTTTGGAGGAAGGAGGTTTTCCCCTTCTTGGGGCTAGAGTCTTTACCCTTTTTGACCCTGGAGGTCAATCACTGCTGAAGAGCTGCGATGTGCTCGAAGAAACTTTTCCCCATTCATGTATTTCTCAGCCTTAGCAAACACGTCTACCATACTGATCTGAGGGTGTTTGGATACTGAAAACAGAAATTCAGAAGGATGAAACCTGGAGATAAAGGTTGCTAGAACTATCTTCTCATCGAGACTGTCAATTTGCACACTCTCTAGGTTGAATCTCTAAACATACTTCCTTAGCATCTCATCAATGACATTGGGTAGGTACGAGGTTGATTTTAGGTGGCTCATGCTTCGATGAAGTGCGAGACGAACTGCATGGAGAGTTCTTTAAACAAGTCGATCATCCCTGGTGGTAGTTTATTATACCATGTCAGGATAGATCCCTTGAGGGTGATTACAAAGGCCTGACATAACTCCAAATTTTGTGGGTGTTCAAAAGGTCGAATGGGTCTTTGGTTCCATCAAAGGCTTCCATATTCGGCATCTTGAATTTGGACGGTAAAGGAATTTTTCAGATTTCAAAGGTGAAAGGAGATTCGGTCTATTGTACTAGGGATCCCATTGAGACTGGGGTTCTATTCTTGACGAAATTATTCATACTGACTAGCTCATCCTAGACTTCTTTGATTTTACCTTCCTAGTACTTGTCTAGGGGAAGAGGTCGCAGAGGAGGTTGAACATTAGCTATACCCACTTCACTAGTTCTGCTTTCGTCTTCCTCTCATTAACATTCAGATTATGCTGGTTGTAGGTGTTGTCGCTAGATTGACTTCCACCCTGTTCTTTAGTGTCTTCGAGGGAGGCTGTCGCTGGAATATCAAGAGCTATAAGATCTACCAATTTTGCCACCGCAACGCCATCATGGCCTTCTATAAAACTCCCTAATCTTGCGGTTGAGGAACCCTGGTTTGAGTTTCTTGATTATGGCTTATGCTTTTGGTCTGGACCATCAATCAATAATGAAGTTTTAGTTTAGAACGACAAAATCATTCCCACAGACAACACCGAGCTAATGGTGTAAAAAACTGAGAAATGCGACAAGTAATAGATTGCAAATTAAATCAAAAGAATGCAAAGATTAGAGTGGTTCGTCCTACTAAAGCATAGGAATAGTCCACTGTTGAAAATAGGCTCGTGTTCCTGGGGCAACATGTGTCATTGCTCAAGGAAAAAGAGAATATATAGTAGGGTTTTCTTAAGGGCAATGTATATGCTTACCTCTTGTTATCCTATTCCATTTCTTTTATAACAGATTTGTTAGAGTATTTGGGGGAATATTTTGGGAATCATGGCCGTTGAGAGACTTTAGGCCCAAGGCAAGGTGGAGCTTCTAGATGGCTTAATTAACTTCTTTCCCAAGGTAGGGTTTCTTGAGAGGTGCCTCATACCCATTTAGGTAATTTTCATATTTGAAAAAACCTTCCTAACAGATCTGCATATGTGTCCTTGTCCTAGGCTATCTCCAGGTCGATTTTGGTCTATTGATCTTCTCGGCCATGACAACTAGGTCAGCACGTCTGACCTACCTATTTTTTGATATCATTAAGATTAAATTATTTTTTTATCACTTTTGTCAATTTTATCTTCAAACTATTTCTATAGAACATCACATTGTTATTTTCCATACAAAGGTGATAAGTATGGCTTAATGAAAAAAACTCACGGCCTAGATATAATTTACTCAAGATGTTAAATGAGGCCCAAAAATTAACAAAATGTAACTAACAAATTCAAAAGATTTTTATTTTGTCACGTGAAAAAGAAAATTGATATCTAAAAACTTGATGTGTTTGAGAGTAACAAGGGATACAAATTAAGTGTAGAGCCCCCGTATTTATAGTCAACAAAAGTTACAATAAGAATAAAAAGGTAAAAAAAGGAAAACTTAATAAACCTTAATAAACTAAGCTACTATATCTCCAACACTCCCCCTCAAGCTAGGCGTAAAAATATCAACTAAACCAAGCTTGACAATTTATTCCCGAAGAATGGATAGAGTGACAAGTTTGGTGAAAATATCTGCAACTTGATCACTAGTCCCCACAAACGATGGAGTGACAATATCACTGCTAACCTTCTCCCGAAGAAAGTGAACATAGATCTTTATATGCTTCGTCTTCTCGTATAATACAGAGTCAGAAGCGAGCTGAATAGCAGATCAATTATCACAATATAATGTAGATGAATAAGTCACTGGAAGTCCCAACTCGCCAAGAATCGATCGTAGCCAGATAATCTCACATGTGTCAAGTGTTAATGCCCGATACTCTGCCTCTGCTGACGAGCGAAAGACAACTGACTGCTTCTTGCTCTTCTAAGAGATAAGATGAGTCCCTCGAAAAGCACAGAAGCCCGTAGTAGATCGACCGTCACATGCTCCCCCATAATCCGAATCTGAATAACAGGCTAGAGAATCAATCTGAAATCCTGATGCATAGAACAACCCAAGTCCAGGACAAGACTTGAGGTACCGAAGAATATGATAAACTGCATTAAGATGAGGCTGACATGGTCTGTGCATGAACTGACTAACTCGGCTGACAGCGAATGAAATATCTGGCCTAATGTTGACTAGGTAGATAAGTCTACCTACTAACCTCTGATAGACAGTCGGATCTCCCAACTCCTCACCTTCAGTAGTAAGCTTCAAGTTTGGAATCATAGGTGATGATGTTGGTTCGTACCCCAACATCCCAGTGTCGGAGAGAAGATCCAGAACATATTTTCTCTGAGAAAGAACAATACCTCTACTGCTACGGGCAACCTCAATCCCAAGAAAGTATCGCAAAAATTCAAGATCCTTCACATCGAAGGCCTTCCCAAAGTCTACCTTAACTTGCGCAATCCCAGAAACATCATCTCCAGTAATAATAATATCATCAATATATACCAAAAGGATGACACACTGTCCGAAAATATTCCATCGAATGAAGCAGATATAATCAGAATGATATCTGGTGAACCCTAAATGTACAATTACATCACTAAAGCGAGAGAACCAGGCTCGTGGTGACTGTTTCAGTCCATAAAGAGACTTACCCAATCGACAAACCTTTCCAGCATACTCCCCCTCACCACGAAAGCCCGGTGGTGCATCCATATAAATAATCTCGTCCAGATCACCGTGAAGAAATGTATTCTTCACATCCAACTGATAAAGAGGCCAAGAATATTCCGCAGCGAGAGAAATAATTAGTCAAACAGTAGTAAATTTTACTACGAGGGCAAAGGTAGCACCAAAATCACAACCTAGTACCTGAGTAAAACCCTTCGCCACAAGCCTAGCCTTGTGACGTTCAATAATACCATCCGCAAGAAACTTCAGGGTGTAAACCCAACGATAGCCAACAGGCTTCACCCCTAAATATAAAGAGACAAGATCCCACGTATGGTTACGCTGAAGAGCTTCCATCTCTGTCTGCATGGCAAGAACCCACTAAGACTCCCGCATAGCCTCTGAAACAGAGCGAAGAACCGGCGTATCTGATAAGTCCATACTATAAGCTCGAAATATAGGAGACAGATCACCATAAGAAACATAAGCAGAGATCGGATATAAAATCCTAGCGGTCCAACTATAACAAACAACTGGACGACGATCATGCCGCGGATAACAACGCCCTAAATCATCATCCTCCACTAATAATGTCTCATCAGGTAAAACAACTGGCTCAGTACCTACAATCTCATCAGTATTAATAACAGGTGCATCAATATGCTCAACAAACTGAGAAGTATTACCTGCATCGCCTGAGGTATAGGGGACATTAGCAGGGGGATGAGAGCAAGGACAAGAAACATAAACCTACAAAGGAAGAGAGACTGGTGACTCTGTACTGACAGGGATGAGTGGCTCTGGAGGAGGAGAGACCGATGACTCTGTAGTGATAGTGACCAATGGCTCTGACTCCGGTGGTAATGAAAAATCAAAGGGAGTATCATCAACTGGAGGGGCAGACACACGACTGGAAGAAAAATAAGGAATATGCTCAAGGAAGGTAACATCTAGACTGTGATACATACGTCACCTGACAAGATCATAACACTGATACCCCTTAGACTAATAACAATAGCCCACAAAGACACAATGAATCGCTTTATCATCAAGCTTATGACGAGTAGGAGATCGATCCTGAACAAAACATGTGCAGCCAAAAACACGGGGGGACCAAAACAAGTGTCAGCTCAGGGAATAAGACCTGTAAGGGAGCCCTATGTTGAAGAACACGACTCGGTATACGATTGCACAAAAAGATAGAAGTCAAAACAGTAAAATGTCAATAAGATTTTGGTACCCCCATACCTCTAAGCATACAACGTACCATCCCTATCAGACTCCTATTTTTTCTTTCAACAACTCTATTTTACTCAGGAGTATATGGACAAGTGAGCTGCTGAAGGATATCCTGAGAAGAAATGTGAGACACTAAGGCATCAGACATATATTCTTTGGTATTATCCGAACGAAGAGCACAAACAATAACATCAAACTGTGTCTTAATCATCTGAAAAAATTGAGTAATGACAGGGAGTACATCAGACTTTTTATACAAAAGGTAGACCCAAGTAAAACGGGTATGATCATCTATAAATGTCACATAGTATCGGGCACCTGATAGAGTAGTAACAGGAAAGGATCCTCAAATATCCGAGTGTATTAGGTCAAATGGATTAGGCGACTGGTGCATGTGAGGAATATAACTGATCCAAATATATTTTAATAGGGAATATATAACACAGTCAAGTTTATCACTAACACAAGTTTTGCTCAAAGCAGGAAATAACATACATAAATATTTAAAATTTGTATGCCCAAAACGGTCATATCACAACTAAACAGTTTGTGATGAAAAATCATAACGACAAGTATTAGGTAAAATACTAACATGTAAGCTAGAAACAGATAAAGACAAAGCAGGTGATGGAGGTGGAAGTGGAGAAACTGGTGAAACCAGAGGTGGATCACCTAAATAATACAATTCATCTCTCTCATTTCCCCTGATAATAATCCTCCTAGTACTCAAGTCCTACAAATAACACGAATCAGATAAAAATACAACTGCACAGTGAAAATCTCTGGCTAACTGATATACAGATAATAGATTCATGGCCAGCTTTGGCAGATGAAACACTGAACGTAATGTAAAGTCATATGGGAGGCGGATTGTACCCCTACTAATAATAGGGGCATGTGTACCATCTGCTAACTAAACTTGAGTATGTAACTGCTCGTCAAGAGAGGTGAAATGATGGGTCTCACCTGTCATATGACCATTAGCACCTAAATCCAGCATTCAAAGGGGAGACAAACTGGCGCAAGTATGAAAGGCACAAGGTATATCAGTAGTAGTCGCAGCAATAGTAGTCGAATCTTGAGAAGTCAAGGCTGACATAAGTATATCCAAGCGAGAAGTGATAGCATCCATATCACTCCGTCAAGGAGGAGCAATAACAATAGTAACAGGAGCAATGACTGTAGGTAGTGGTGCCTTAGCAATGGCAGCAGTACGGCTGCGAGGAGACAGCTTAAGCTCCAGATGGAGCTTCCAACAAGTAGCCTTGAGATGTTCTAGTCGGCTACAATAATCACACTGACGAAAATTCTCATATCTACGCTGATGTGGGGTACCCGGACGGCGCTGGGCCGAGCGTTGTCAACCCCTATACCTAGTGGAAGTACTAACAGATGTCTTAACGGTAGGAGTCTTAACTCCCTCAATAGTAGTCATATCATCAATAATATTATGGCACTCGTGACAGAAAAACAACTCTAAAATAAATAGAAGGACAAAATAAGAGAGAATAATATACCTCCAGTCGAATAATAGCGACAGATAAAGAAGGTCCAAAAAGCTCCCAAATAATCAAGGTCACGATACCCAGAAATCCAATAAAGATAAATAAGAGATATACTGCATCAAAAACAGATTATCGGAGAAGAGGATTCATTCTCTCCTAAAAATGTCCTAGGACAAAGCCACAACGAAAATTGCGACCTAGCAGTGGGCTGGACAATGACCCAGCAATAGGAGTTCAATTTTACTGGGTTGCTGGGCTGATTTAATATGTCTTTCGATTTATTGGGTTGGATCTAAGGTGGTCTAGTATTATTATTATATAGGCAGTTGGTATGGACAGTGGAGTGGTTGGGTTTGTTTGGTGTATTGGGTCGATGGAGTTTCTGGGTTCATTTGGTGTTAGCTGGGGTTGGGCTGGTATGTGAGGGTTGTCGGTGTTTTGTCGGTGTTGGGTTGTTTCAGTGGAAAGCAGAGGTTGTTTCGGTGGAGGGCTGGTATGTGGGTTTGTGTTTGTTTGTCGGTGGAGTGGGTTTGTGGTAGTATGTCGGTGGATTTGGGAAATATCAAAGCAGGTCGCAGTTTGTGGGATTGGTG